GTGGCAACGGTTAAGTTCAATGTCACGGCATTTTGCCACAATGCTTTTCAAAGGCTGGATGTTATCAACATGGGAAAAACTCACGCGCCACCAACGAGGATGTAAAGCAGGCGGCCTTTCCGGAGAACAGCTGGAAAGCATAGTGCAGACGTGTGTCCGTGAGCTGGCTGTTCTACCTGAGGCATCTAAACCTGTGGCAGGTGCCTCGGAGCCCCCTCCGTATCATCCGAGCACCCGTGGGCCCCGTGTGCAGGGGAGTCAGAAGTGCCAGGGAGTCAACGCCCCCTCAGTCCCCCCTTCTCCAGAGCAGCCCACAGCCTGGCAGGACCTGAGGCGTCAACCCCTCACAACTCCGTGGCCCCTTGAGCCGGACAACTTGGAGGTGTGTCCGCCACCGTCTCCCAGCAGAACAGAGCCCCAGCTGCCTGTGCACCTGTTCCCTTTACCCTCATGGATGCCTGCTGGCCTCCTCCCTTCCCAGTTACCCCACTCCAGGGTGCCCTGGGATCCCCGTCCAGGTAGACTGTTTACAGCCAATTCCCTGTGTAGGGTCTGCAGCTATAGGAGCCTGAACTGAGACAACACCTCCCACCTCCCAGGTGTCCACCTACCCATCATTTACTGAGTGCCCCACCCACCCCGGCCCTGCATGCAGGCACCATCCCAAGGGTTGGGGACACAGCAGTCATGGGGTTTCCATCGCAGTGACCCTGGCGATTTGTACAGTGTGCAAAGCGATGCGCATCAGGATGCTCACCCCAGCATAAAGGTGTAGACAACCGCCCCGGGCATGGGTGCTCTCGGGGAGAAGCGGGCCTTCTGTCTGTCTGTCTCCCGGCTGCCTGTGGTGGAGCCCACACACTTCAGGGAGGCCAAGTCTCCAAGGGTCGCGCCCATTGCGGAGCTTCACCCAAGCTTAGGGGGTCTCAATCTTCAAGGTTTCGAACCTACGTCTCAGGTCTAGTGAACTCGTGAGCCTCTTTTGCCCGTGGGGGAGGGGTCTCATTCTCCCACTTGTCAAGGTCCCCTCTCCCTTGAGTTTTGCGGACAGAATGGGTCGGGCTTCACGAGATGCCTCCAGGCTGAACTGGGTGCTTTACTAGTTTCAGACTCAGCTTAGGCTTCCTTGGCCAGGGAGGGATGAGTGGAGGTGGGGAGGCAGCCATCCTTTTGAGAGGCTGGCCTCCCAGACTGGACTCCGGTCTCAGATCCCAGAGCCTTCTAGCCCTTGCGCCCTGCCCCCACCCCGAAGACCTGGGAGCAGCTTGCTCCTACCCATCCCCCAAGTCCAGAGAAGGCCTCAAGGCTGGGCAGGTGAGCACGCCCACTCTGCTCCTCTTCCCTTGCTGGGTGGTCACAGCAGGTGGGGGAAGCCCTCTCCCTGCCCCTTGACTTTGTTCTTCCCCTGGACTTGGTTGTGCCTCAAGGCCAGGTGGCTGCACCTTGTGGTGGGGGTGGGGGCAAGGAGGAGGAGGCCCTTCACCTGTTCCCCACAGGGTCACTACAGCTTGGATCCTGGAAGGGGCCCACAGGAGGGCTTTGGGAGCGCGGCACCTCCCGCCCCCCCTGGTTTCCCCGACTGCAGTCTGGCGCAAAGTTCTAAGACCTCCGCCCTCCGGCCCGCCCCCTCGTCCACCTCGAGGAGAGCTGGATTAGGATTAACCTCCTCCCGAAATCCCTTGGCGTCAGGAGTAGGGGGCGACCTGGGAGGACCCAAAGGGAGGCGGAGCCGAGCCGTCCCCTGGGCGGGCGGGGCGGCTCCCGGGCTCCTGTCCCGCCCGCCCGCCCTGACTCACCCAGGCTGGCCCGGGAACTCTGCGGGAGTCCCGGCCGCTCCGCTCCCAGGGACCCAGGAGTTGGGCCCAGCGTCCCAGCCAGAGCGGTGAGTAGGAGGCTCCCCGTCCCTGGGGACCGGGTGGCGGGGTGGGGGTCTGGCCCACGTGAGGGCCGCCCCAGGTGCCACGGGCACTGCCGCCCGAGCCCGAGGCCCGCCCGCCTGGGACGCAAGGAGCTGGGGAGGGGGTGGAGGCAGCGAGGGATTCGGCCGGCCGTGGCCAGCCCTAGGGCTCCCGTTAGGGAGCCCGCGGGCCTGGTGAGGACAGAATGAAGATCAGCAGGCTGGGGGAGCCCCCCAGGGGACCTGACCATGTTCCCTTTGTCGCCCCAGAACCCTGCCCCCCGGGGGGTCCTTACTCCCTGGGACTATTAGGCCTCAAGACTGCCCTGACTCCCAAGTCCTGGCTGGGCAGCTTGGAGAAGTCCTAGGTGGAGAGTCCCCAGGCCTGGGACCTGACCCAAGATCTGCTAGTAAGGGACCACCCCCACCCCGACCTTAGTTTCTCTCTTGTGTAAAAGTCAAAGGTTGGACCTGTGTGCCCTGAAGCCCGTGTCAGGGCTGACAGCTACCCCTGTGTCGTCCTTGCCTGGTAGCCTGGGCTGTGAGTGACGAGGGGGCTGGCCCTGGAGCACCCACCACTGCCCCCAGGAGGCCAGCTGGGAGCCTGGAGAGGGCCTGCGAGAGAAGGGGGTGAGGCATGGATGGTGGAGCTGAGGCTGGGGAGCGGGCATGACCGACTAGGACCCCAGGGCCTGCCCTGCAAAGTGGCCCTCTGCCCATCTTTTCTCTGCTAGAACACTCTCCTCTGGGCTCCTTTTGGTGAAGATGCTGCAGCCCAGTGAGAGGTTCTCACCCGAGATGAAACAGACAGGGCGCTACCGGGCCGACGAGACCTGGGGGTCAGGCCTCAAATACCACTTGTAGCTGTGAAAGCTTGAGCTGTTTTTGTCCCCTCCCCGTGAGGCTGGAAAATGAGGGTTGTGGTGCCCTCCCTCCCCCAGAGCTGGGATGAAAGGAGGCACGGAAAGTGCTTGCTGGCTGTCATGCATGTGGCCGTGCTGTTGTTTTCCTCTGGGCTCCCCATCCCTTGAGCCCTGGGCCCCGGGCCCTCCAGCTGGCCCAGCTCAGACAGAGGGGGGGCCAGCCTCGTGTGTGTGTGGAAGCTTAATGGCAGGTTCCGACCATCCAGTGAGTCATGGAGACAGATAATGATAACCCCAGTGTCTGCCTCTGATGGTGTTGTGTATATACCTTGTTCCCTGGGAGCCGCTGGGGACCCTCGGTGTCGCTGCCGTCTTGCCTTTGATTGTAGTCTTGACATGGTGGATGCTACAGCTTCCGCCACTGCAAGGTGGACCCAGGCAAGAAGGTGGTCCTTGCCTGTGTACGTGGCATTTCTGTCGCCGCCCCAGGAGTCCTGTGCTTAGGACCTAAACAGCTGCGTGGTGTCCCTTACAGGGACAGGTCCCCAGGGCAGGGAGAACAGTGGCTGGCGGGAATGGGTCCTGGGTCTCTGGCTCTGGGTACCCACCTGCATCCCTATGCACACTCCAGGATGCCCCCGGGTGTCCCTCAGAGTGGCTACACTGTACACGTGGCCCCTGTTCCTTATCAACATGTGGGCTGTTGATAAGATCCCCTGATGATGGCACTGATACGCTGGGGCATTTCTACTCGGCTTTTCTTTTAGGACAGGGCATCACACTGAGGGTGAGGAATGGGGCATTGTGGGAAGGAGCCTGTGCTGTCTGTGCACCCCCCTGCCTGTGCCCGGTTCTGGGTGAGTCAGGGCCTGAGTCAGGGGGGTCCGGCCCCTGCCACCCCTATGTGAGGGCCTCCGATTAGAAGGTGTGGTGGACTACCTCGCCCTCAGCCTGCTGGGCAGGGGCTATATCCCGTATCCCTGTCCGCCTCTACCTCCTCCCTACCCGGGAGTCAGCCCGAGGCCTCAGGGACCTGGGGACTGAAAAAGGAGGCAGGGAAGTGTATGAGTAATTAGCCGAGATGTGGGCCAGGTTCCCCCTGGCCGGTGGACGGGCTGGCAGGAGCCGGATGCCTCTTCTCCATGCCCAGCCTCCAGGACACCCACATGGGAACAACAGGCGGTGCGGGGGAGCATGGATGCTATAAGAGGCAGTCCAGCCTGGGAGCCCCCTCGAAAGGCAGTGGGGGCCCTGCGGCCTCCCTTTCCTTCCGTCCAGCCTCAGGGAGAGAGGGAAGGAGGCTCCCCAGCTGCTTGTCTGGGAGGGTGATGTCCCAGCTTGTGGCCCCCGCCCCCGCGTGACTCGCTCCTGGCTGTCCCGTATCTGAAATAATGATACCTTGGTCTAAAGTGAAACCCGGGGACAGACAGAGTGGGCTGGCCGCCCAGGAGCCTGGCAGCCCAGCCCCGGCCCAGACAGTAGGTGTCACTCTGGCATTCTCCCTGAGTTTTGCATTTCCTGATCCTCTGCCCTGCGGCCACCTCGGCAAGCCCCTAGCCTCCCAATCAGAGCCCAGATTTCTGTTTTCTGCCCCAGCTTCTGGGCACTAATCCCACTAGAAACCCAGGTGTCCTAGTCTTCCTTCCCCTTAACTGACCAGCCTTCAGCATTGCCACTCCCTGCCCCTCAGGCCCTGTAACCAGAGCCAGGCTCCAGCCGGCTTTTCCGGTTGGAGGTTGGAGGTGGTGCCCGGAGCGCCCCTGAAGGGGGTGGGGGACCCACACCCCGGAAGTCCTGAGCCTCAGACGCTCTCTGGCCCAGCGGCAGAGACAGAAGGGGCTAGCCGTCCCGACACCAGATGTCTGGAACCAGAGCAGTAGAGCGAGTGTTTTGGGCTCGTCATCAAGGGTGGGAGATGGCTGGGTTCTGGGAGGAGGCCACTCAGGCAAGCTGGGGGACAGTGGCCCTGTGGACTGCCCTTCCTGACCTCTGGAAGGGGAGGCAGCGTCACATGGGGGCAGGGATCCCGGGGAGCAGAAGTGGTGAGAACCGTAGTAGTTTGGCTTCAGGAAGGAGGTGAGGTCTGGGGGAGAGGGGGAGGGAGCCACACAGCTCGCGCGTTCTGCCAGACTTGGGCAAGGCAGAGCAGAAACTGGGAGCAGAGGCTGTGCCTGGCTCCTCTGGGGGCCCACCACCAGACGCCCCCTTTCTTGAGGGTCTCTGCAACCCTTGCTTTCTCCTCTCCCATAGGAAAGATGATTCCGGTGGCCGAATTCAAGCAGTTCACGGAGCAGCAGCCCGCGTTCAAGGTGCTCAAACCCTGGTGGGACGTGCTGGCGGAGTACCTCACCGTGGCTATGCTCATGATCGGGGTCTTTGGCTGCACCCTGCAGGTAACGCGCAAGGCAGGCGCGGGGCCTGGACGCAGCGCGGTCTGTAGGGACTGGGGTCCAGATGCGTGAGAGGGGCGGGGCCAACGGGGGCGGGGCCTGGACGAAAGTGTAGTTGGCGGAGCACGCAGGGGGCGGGGCCCGGGCGTAGCTCGGCCTGTGGGGGTGGGACTTACGGGGGCGGGGCCTGTGTGAGCGGGTAGGAGAGGCGGGGCACGTGGGGGTGGGGCCCGAGGATTCCGGAGGTCTACCTGCTCAGAACCCACAGTTCTGGAGACTTGGAAGTGTGAAGTCCAAGTGTCGACAGGTTGTGTCTTTCTACGGGCTGGGAGGGAGCATGTGCGTGTTCCGTGCCTTTCTCCTGGCGGCCCCAGGCATTCTCTCATCTTCCCCCGGTGTGCACGTGTCTATGTGCAAATGGCTCCTTTTTATGAGCACAGTCATACTGGGTTAGGGCCCACCTTAGTGACCTCACCTTAACTTGATCAGATCTGCTCTGCAAAGACTATCTATCCACAGGTATTAAGGATTAGGACTTCAGTATCTTTTTCCGGGGTGGGAGGGAGGAGGATCAGGTATTAAGGATTAGGACCTCAGTATCTTTTTCCGGGGTGGGAGGGAGAGAGAGGATGCAATTCAACCTAACTCCCTTTTTTTCAGACAAAGACTGATACTCAGAAGTTTAGGGACTCTTCCAAAATCACAGCCAGCTGGGGACAGTCAGGGACTGGGGTCTCCCGCCTTCAGCTTGCCTTTCTCCCCCCAACCATGCGGGCCGTCCCAGCAACTTGGCCCTCTTTCCCCCTCATTCCCAGGTGACACAGGACAAGATCATCTGTCTGCCCAGTCACGAACTCCGGGAGAACTTATCAGAGGCCCCGTGCCAGCAACTGCTGCCCCGGGGCGTCTCTGAGCAGATGGGGGGCCTCCGGGAGGTAAGCGGCCTCAAGAACAATCTGGACCTGCAGCAGTACAGCTTCATTAACCAGCTCTGCTACGAGACAGCCCTCCACTGGTACGCCAAGTACTTCCCCTACCTGGTTGTCATTCACACGCTCATCTTCATGGTCTGCACCAGCTTCTGGTTCAAGTTCCCCGGCACCAGCTCCAAGATCGAGCACTTCATCTCCATTCTGGGCAAATGTTTCGACTCGCCGTGGACCACACGGGCCCTGTCCGAGGTCTCTGGGGAGAACCAGAAGGGCCCCGCCGCTGGACGGGCGACGGCGACCGTGGAGGCCTCGGCAGGGCCCGGAAAGGCCGATGAGGGTGAGAAGGAGAAGGTGCTGGTGGAGCCTGAGAAGGTGGTGACTGAGCCACCGGCCGTCACCCTGCTGGACAAGAAGGAGGGTGAGCAGGCCAAAGCCCTGTTTGAGAAGGTCAAGAAGTTCCGCGTGCATGTGGAAGAGGGGGACATCTTGTACACCATGTACATCCGGCAAACGGTGCTCAAAGTCTGCAAGTTCTTTGCCATCCTGGTCTACAACCTGGTCTACGTGGAGAAGATCAGCTTCCTGGTGGCCTGCAGGGTCGAGACCTCAGAGGTCACGGGCTACGCCAGCTTCTGCTGCAACCACACCAAGGCCCACCTCTTCTCCAAGCTGGCCTTCTGCTACATCTCCTTCGTGTGCGTCTACGGGATCACCTGTCTCTATACGCTCTACTGGCTCTTCCATCGGCCCCTCAAGGAGTACTCCTTCCGTTCCGTGCGGGAGGAGACGGGCATGGGTGACATCCCCGATGTCAAGAATGACTTTGCTTTCATGCTGCACCTCATCGACCAGTATGACTCCCTCTACTCCAAGCGCTTCGCCGTCTTCCTCTCCGAGGTCAGCGAGAGCCGCCTGAAGCAGCTCAACCTGAACCACGAGTGGACGTCCGAGAAGCTGCGGCAGAAGCTGCAGCGCAACGCCCGGGGCCGGCTCGAGCTGGCCCTCTGCATGCTCCCGGGGCTGCCCGACACCGTCTTCGAGCTCAGCGAGGTGGAGGCGCTGCGGCTGGAGGCCATCTGCGACATCACGTTCCCCCCGGGCCTGTCGCAGCTGGTGCACCTGCAAGAGCTCAGCCTCCTCCACTCGCCCGCCAGGCTGCCCTTCTCCTTGCAGGTCTTCCTGCGGGACCGCCTGAAGGTCATCAGGGTCAAGTGTGAGGAGCTCCGCGAGGTGCCCCTGTGGGTGTTTGGGCTGCGTGGCCTGGAGGAGCTGCACCTCGAGGGGCTCTTTGTCCCCGAGCTGGCTCGGGCGGCGACCCTTGAGAGCCTCCGGGAGCTGAAGCAGCTCAAGGTGCTGTCTCTGCGGAGCAACGCCGGCAAGGTGCCAGCCAGTGTGACGGACGTGGCCGGGCACCTGCAGCGGCTCAGCCTGCACAATGACGGGGCCCGCCTGCTGGCCCTGAACAGCCTCAAGAAGCTGGCGGCGCTGCGGGAGCTGGAGCTGGTGGCCTGCGGGCTGGAGCGCATCCCGCATGCCGTCTTCAGCCTGGGGGCGCTGCAGGAATTGGACCTCAAGGACAACCACCTGCGGTCCATTGAGGAGATCCTCAGCTTCCAGCACTGTCGCAAGCTGGTCACGCTCAAGCTGTGGCACAACCAGATCGCCTACGTCCCTGAGCACGTGCGGAAGCTCCGGGGCCTCGAGCAGCTCTACCTCAGCCACAACAAGCTGGAGACCCTGCCCACGCAGCTCGGCCTGTGCTCCGGCCTCCGCCTGCTGGACGTCTCCCACAACGGGCTGCGCTCCCTGCCGCCCGAGCTGGGCCTCCTCCAGAGCCTGCAGCATCTGGCTCTGTCCTTCAATGCCCTGGAGACCCTGCCCGAGGAGCTCTTCTTCTGCCGCAAGCTGCGGACGTTGCTCCTGGGCTACAACCACCTGAGCCAGCTCTCGCCCCAGGTGGGCACCCTCAGAGCCCTCAGCCGCCTGGAGCTCAAGGGCAACCGCTTGGAGGCGCTGCCGGAAGAACTTGGCAACTGCGTGGGGCTCAAGAGAGCAGGGCTCGTGGTGGAGGACACGCTCTACGAGGGCCTGCCGGCAGAGGTGCGGGAAAAAATGGAGGAGGAGTGAAGCGAAAGGTGGGGCAGGTGGAGGTGGAGGCCTTCTGGATGCTTCCACTCCCGAATCTCAACTATGGTCTTCAAGCCGGGTGGCCAAGAGGGCCCAGGCCAAGGAGACGAGGAGCAGACACATTAGCCTTGTGGGGTCCAGATGAGATCCTGGAACTGGTTTGTCTGAGAAGAGACAGGAAGCTGTGGATTTGGGGTGGAGCGTCATAGAGGGATTAACTCAGTCATAGGATTCGCAGACCAAACCCACCACACCTGTGTCTTTGGCTGGCTGGCCTGGCCTCCTCCTCCTGGACATTCTAGCTCAATTAGTGCCATATATGGGGGCGGGGCACATCCCAATGGGATTTCAACCCTTTCTCCCCCACCCCAAACAGCTTACATCTGGGGTTCTCTCCCAAGGAGGGAACACAGACATAAGGGACCAGCGACCGCCGCCCCCAACTTTGATGCCAATCCCTTATTTATAAGTTGTTTGCTCTGGACACGTGAACTCAGTAAAATGGTTCTCATATTTGGCTATGCATCAAAATCAACATCCCCAAAACAAAGCATCCCAGGCCCCGCCCCTGAAAGACTGACTCAGGTCTCGCTGGAGGCCAGGAACTTGTCCGTAAATAAGCATCCCAGGTAATTCTGATGCAGGTGGTCCTAGGCATGTATGTTGGGAAATGCTGACCTCCAGAATCTGGGTGTCCAGAGCAGGGATTCTGAACCCTTTTGAAGTCCTAGAACTTTTATAACATCTTATAAAAGTCAGGCACCTCCTTGCCCAGGAAAATGGACACACACGTGCGAAATTCCAAAGCTACTTCAGGCAGTCAACAGATTCCCCCACATTTTCCAGAGGGCCATTCACGGACGTCCGAAGGATGGCAGACTCCAGGGTTAACATCACTTGCTGTGGAGTTTATGTGCTTCTGAGCACAGGCAGGGACTTTTGTCTTTCCAGTGTTCTCGGTGTGACGGAGCATCTATCAGTGGGTGGTTAATAAATAATGTGATGAGAACTAAAATTTTGATCTCTGGTATCCACTCCACTTGTCTAAGCCTTCCATTTCGTTCAGACGAATGACAGGCAAGCAAGTGACACTAACGTGCCTGAACGAAGGATGTGAGTTTCTATTCCAGAAGCAGAGACAGATCGATCTCAACCTAGCAGGAGAAATTAGGTGGCATCTTCTGCTTCGCTTGTTTTTCTGGAGAACTCCTTTTCCTCTCCATTCCTTGTTATTCTCTCCACATTATTCTCTGTAAAAACAGTCTTTTATCTGTTTCACCCTTAAGTTGCCACCACAGGAGTCCCCACAAGCCTTCAATGCCCACCACTGTTCCTGTGCTGGCCCAGGAGTGGGTGGGGCATATGGCACGGCCTGCCTGACCCTGACTTCCTGGGACTGGATGCCTAGAGAGGTCTGCTAAATGCGAGCCTCTTTCTGGCAAGCGAGAGCAGAGACAAGCTGCTTTCTGAAAACCAGAATTACAGATGGGGACATTTCCCCGGCACCCAACAGACCAGTTTAAGCTACGAGGATGACAGGCTGAGGGGCATTAACACCAAAGCCCATCTTCTGCACTGTCCAGAAGCTGGGTTCACATTCCGGGGCGGGAAGATGAGGAAACGTCTTAAAACGTCCCAGGCAGGTCTGACCTAGAACTCCCTGGCCATGACCTTGGCCCCGTCGTCAAGATCAGGGGTCACGCCGCTAGATTCCTAAGGCAGCTACAGTGACCTGAGCCCTACCCAGTCCCTCCCGACAGTCCTTAGCCAACCTCCAGTTTGCTGAAATAGAAAGGGCTCCCCACGGGTGCCTAATTATGGTGAGGAGGCAGCAATTAGGCATAACACTGATCCTAATGAAGCACTGTCCCAGACGAGAAAGGCAGTTCTGAGGGAGCGTGGGTGCCACAGAAAACAGGCCGGGCGAGGAACAGCGAAAACCAGGTTGAGGATACATAGCAATAGCTACCCCCAGCAACAGCGGCCGAGGAAAAAGCCATGGTTGCGCATGCGCAGCAAAGGCATAGCGCGGGATTGCGTCTACCCCTCTGCACGCAGGCGCGCTGCTTTCCCCGCCTGCCGCTCTCAGCAGAACCGTGAATGGATTTCAACACGGTGTCTGGAGAGAGCGAGCGGGAGCGCGCGCTCCGAATCCGCGCATGCGCACCACGACCAGAGGGTTTGCACGTTGCCCGACGCGAGCTCTAGGTGGCATCATCCCGCTGGTCGGGAAGAAGCACGCATGCGCAGAGGTTAGCACGAGGAATGGGCGAGTGCGCACCGCGGACATGCGCCGTTCAGGGAGAGACGGCGGCTCGGCGGGGTCATCCAGGCGCAAGCGCAGTGCGGTGTTTGTCTGCCGGACTGACGGGCGGCCGGGCGGTGCGCGGCGGCGGCGGCGGCGGGGAAGATGGCGGCGTCCTCCCTGGAGCAGAAGCTGTCCCGCCTGGAAGCAAAGCTGAAGCAGGAGAACCGCGAGGCCCGGCGGAGGATCGACCTCAACCTGGATATCAGCCCCCAGCGGCCCAGGCCCAGTAAGCACAGCGGCGTGGGGGAGGGGGCGGGCGGGCGGGCGGGGCGCGCGCCGCGGGAAGCCCCGCCCCCGCCGTCAGGCCCCGCCCTCGCTTCCGGGGCGCTCTTGCTCCTCCTTCTCTCCACCCTACACCCCCTGCTGTCTGCTCGCGGGGAGAGGGTCACGGTGACCCAGGGGGGCGTGGGGCCGGCGGGCTCCCGAGAGGCCCTCCCCCAACCTAGGGGATTCCCCCTTACGGGGCCTATGAGCCTAGTTACCGGGCCCTAGAGCAATGCCTCCCCACCTGATGACCCGCCCCCTCACCGTGATCCTCGGAGCCTGTGTCCCGTCCCCTACTCCAGGAGCCGTGCTCCCCTTAATACAAGCGACTGTGACCACATCCAGATCCCCCGCAAACACGTACACGTCCCTTCCGACCAGATGATTTCACTCCTGCCATCTCAGTGACTGGCAGGAGGCCCCCGGGTCCTTGTCATATGGTTCAATGGATGGTCCACTCACATTCATACACGCGCACCTGGCCCGGCTGACATCTGAGGTTATTTGACCACATATAACCCCCGAGTCCTCTGACCTCCTTTTCTGTGACTGTGTCTGGTGATCCCTTTTTTCTAGGCTGGGACCTTGTCATCGGGCCTCGCAGACCCCCTCCTGCACACACCCTACTCACATACACGAGGCCTTCTTATAATACTTCGTCTTGGTGACTGTCTGGCTTCTCCAAAAATCCACACACCCAGCCTCCAGCCTGCCAACTTTGTCACCTGGCCTCAAGTGACTTCCCTGCACGTCCACGTTCACCTGGCCTAGGGGTACCTGAGGCCAGCGTGGGGACATCCAAGCCCATGTGCACCTCGCCTCTGTTCCCACTGTCCCTGGGACTGCCTGCCTGGTGTCTTACCGTTTGGAGTCAAGAGCTGCCCCTGCCCCCAGCACTCACACCTGATCAGGGGTTGCCATGGCCACTGTCCAGTCCCTTTGTTTTGTCCCACAGAACCCCCTCCCCAAATCTCTCAGCAGGAGGGCCTGAGGTCTTCACCCGCCCCACAGACTGACGAATAGCACCCCGCCACACACTTTCTGTCTCTCTCGTGAGCTAGCAACGGGCCCTCCTTCGTGTTTCTCCTGATGTGATCTGAGTAGCTTCTGTAGCTCTCCACGGGGTCGTCCTGATAGGAGGGGGGCCACGCTCCCACATCGGGGTATTACAGTCACTCCCTGCTCCTCCAGCCTCACCGCCCCCCACCCTCCCCGTGTGCAGTCCACTCCTCATCGCTCCCTCTTCTGACCTGGGGTAGCGTGGGCTCCTCCCTGGGGCAGAAAGCCCACCCAAGCCCGGAGGGTCCCCACTGGGCTCTGCGATTCTGCCTCCCGCAGCCGCGGCGTGGATGAGACAGGGCTGGGCCTGGGGCCTGCGGTGCCTTACGGGGTGGCTGTCCCAGGTGCAGAGTGAGGAGCGGTGGGGCCCGCGGTGGGCAGGCCCCCGAGGAGCCCCCTCCAGGCATCTGTGTCTGTGTCCGCTCCATCCCATCCTCCTGGTCCTCCCATCTCTGTGGTTTCTACCCGTCTCTGCAGCGGTGCCTCGCGCCTCCCAACTCTTCCTCGTTATGATTTGATTTCTTTTCTTTTGGACAAATCAGTTGTTTCTGTTGTGATTTATCGTGGTGTTGTTTTTTTTCTTCCTTTTCCCCATCCAGTTATTGTGATCACTCTAAGCCCTGCTCCTGCCCCGTCCCAACGAGCAGGTACCAGCCTTTTTATCATTGCCGCTTGGACATCTGCACCATTGACCTAACCGCTGCCCCGGCCGCAGAACGCCCTCCCCCATCGCCCCATGCTGTGTGCGGTGTGTGTGTGTGGTGTGTGCGCGCCTGCGCCTGTCACTCTTACTCTCTGTCCTTCCACCCGATCCACGATTAGTGATGTTTGGCCCACTTGGCCGCTTCTTCTGTGTTCTCTCACCTTCCACTTCTCCCTTCCTGGTGGGCTCAGTTTGGACTCCCCTGAAGAGGAAATGGGCTCCTTCACCGACCGGGAGCCTGCCACCGTGAGCGGTCACACATGTGTGTACGTGCATCAGGGGGAGAGAGCGATGGGGGCCAGGCTGTCACGCCGCGTGCGTTGATTCGTTCTGACAGCGCAGCGAACGGGTATTGCCCGCTGTGTGCCGGGTCTGCTCCAGGTGCCAGGGACCCGGGCTTCTTCCTTGTGCCGCTGACGCTCGCTGCCAATGAGCGTCCCCCTGGTCTGGGAGAGGCGGGGACAGCGGTGACGCCTCAGAGGAAAGACAGAGTAGAGCCAGGTTAGGGTTCTGCAGCACATGGGCCCATCGGGGAAGCCTCTGGAGAAGATGGGGTTTGAGCGCAGTCTCACGGGAGGTGGGGAACTGTGAGTGAAGGTGGAGAGAAGACAGCGGCCGGGGCCGCCAGTGGGTCTGGGAGCAGGTGTGTGTGTGTGTGTGTGTGTGTGCGTGCGCGCGTGCGTGCGTGTGTCAGAGAGAGAGAGATATACCAGCACACACCACATCTGGGTGGGGTCTAGTCCTGTTGGCGCTAGTGTAGGGAGAGCTAGATTGGGAGCTTTGTGTGTGTGTGTATGTGCGCGCGCACGTGTGTGTGAGACAGCATGGGGCTGGCACAGTTGGGGGCTCTTGGCATATGGTCTCTGTGTGGTGGGTGTTGGGTCATGCCGTGTGTGTGTGTGTGTGTGCGCGCGCGCGCGCACTTGTGTTGGGCTGGCGGCCTAGTACATCAGTGGCTCCTGTTGGCCATGTGCCTTCATGCTCTCTCTCCTTCTCTCTTTCTCTCTCTTTCAGCCTCTTGCTCTCACTGTGCTCTCCTGACCTGCCGCGTGGCCTGTCACCACCTCTGTGATCTCTGTTTTCAGGGCCTTTGTGTACCTCCCCCCTCCCCCCACCTTAGCCACCCCCACTGGCCCCACTCAAACCCCCACCATGCTTCAGTTTGAAGGGCCATAGCAACTGTCTGCGCACCCCCCCCCCCAGAAGTGCCCAGAAGGTAGGGGTGTGGTCCTCACCCCAGAGACCTGACGGTGCAGGGCAGCAAAGGCGCCCGGATACCCTCCAGGGGGTGAGAGCCTGGCAGTGTCCCCAGAGAGTCCAGATCTAGGGAGAGTGTGGGGGCCCTCAGTGTCCCTCAGGTGGTTGGGCCTGTGGGGGAGGGATTAGGACCCTGCCTCTAGCTGGAACAGCAGGGAGGGGCCCAAGGGGTGAGGCCCCCAGGCCAGTGCAGGGCGCCAGGCCTGGCCATCTCCCTGGTCCCCAGGGCTTTTCCTTTGCTCTTACCAGCCCTTAGCAAGTCTTGCATCCCATCTTCGATTGCAGGCTGGGGTCACTTGCCTGCCCCCTTGCTCTAGATGTGGTCAGGGTCCCCAGGCTGGCAAGGCAGGGAAAGGGCCCAGATGCCAGCAATTCGAGCATATTTGTCTCTGTCCATTGGGCACTGGGCCCACATCACAGGTGCTCGCAGAACTGGAGGAGGAAGGGGTGGGGTGGGCATGGCAGGAGATGTAGGTGGGGGGGCGGGGAGTGGCAGGCCCCAGGCCTCCTGGCCGCTCTCCTTGGAACGTTCCCTCTGGCCCCCCTTAGACAGCTCCTGGAGCCAGTGCCCTACCCAGCTAGGGGCCCCGTGCGGAGCACCTCCAGGGCCTCTGGGGGTAAGAGGGTTCAGTGGAGGGTCATGTGTCTTCTCCGGGGGCCACAGCGGTCTCTGCTCCCCAGCCCTGTTGCCAGCCCAGCCAGGGAGGATCGTAGCCACGCAGGGAACCTGCTGTCCTGTCCTGGGCCCCTGTCTGGCCTGTCTCTGCGGTGCCTCCTCTGGGCAGCTGGGCTTCAAGTCTTGGCTCCCATTTGTCTGTCTGTCTCTTGCCCTCCCAGCCCCCGAATGCCGCCTGCCCGTCCCGGGGTGCCCGCTGCCTGCCCGCTGCCTGCCCGCCTGCCTGTAGCATGCCCAAGCTGCCCGCATGCAGGCTGCCGAGAAGAACCGAACCCCACTGCCTGGCCCTCCCCCCGCCCCCCACCCCATCCCGACAGCCCTTGGAGGGGCCGTGCCACCTGGATGCCCTCACCCTAAGGACACAGGCCCAGCCTGGGGTCCTGCCCCCACCCATTGGCCCCAGCTCTGCAGGCCGAGCTGGGAGGCTCAGAAATGAGCCTGCTGGCTAGAGGGTGGCCCTCCCTGACCCTGGAACAGAACGTGGGGCAAGGCAGCTGGAAGCTTGCGTCCCTCGCTCGTTGTCTCCCTGGGGTGGTCCTCCCGATTCGTACTGGGCAGCCACGTTCAGTGCTGCCAGCGCGGCCAGAGCCAGGCCGATCCTGAGGCGGGGGGGGGGGGGGGGGGGGGGGGGGGGGGGGGGAATTCCTTCCTCATGTGGTCCAGAGCGTGGCCCTGGAGGCCCTGGGCCTGCTCCTGGGCAGAGGTGGGGAGGAGAGGGACACATCAGGAAGGCTGCCTGGCTGAAGGGTGCCATCAGCCTCTGGGCCTTGATCCTGTGTCAGCACAGACTTGGGGACAGTCCCTCAGCCTCTGGGGACCACTCCTCCCTGCCAGCCCACTCCATCTTCTTCCAGGTCAGGGGGGCAGGAGAAGGCACCCTGACAGTGGGGGGGGGGGGAGACCCTAGCTCCTCCAGCCCATGTCCGTGCTGGCCTACTGGATGCCAGGGAGGGGAAGACCAGAGTACCCCTGAGACCCCACGGTGCCAGCTAACCCCCTCACCCCTGGCTCTCACCCCCCTCCTCAGCCCTGCAGCTCCCGCTGGCCAATGATGGGGGCAGCCGCTCACCGTCCTCTGAGAGCTCCCCACAGCACCCCACGCCCCCTGCCCGGCCCCGCCACATGCTGGGGCTTCCGTCAACCTTGTTCACACCCCGCAGCATGGAGAGGTGAGCTGTGGACATGGGGCCAGCCGGCCGGTGTGGGAAGGCCATCGTGCCTGCCCCAGGGAGGAGGGGGGTGAGGTCTGTGGGAACCCCTATTTGATGGCGACCAGGGTGGCCTCAGTTTGGTTGGGACCATCCTCCACCGGGACCTCCTCCTCGTCCCCTCAGCATCGAGATTGACCAGAAGCTGCAGGAGATCATGAAGCAGACGGGCTACCTGACCATCGGGGGCCAGGTACCACCTCGCTCTGACCCCTGGGGGGGCGGGCAGGACGAGGTGGGGCTGGATCTCTGGGGGGGGGGGGTGGAGGCAGAGCCCCAGCCGACCCTCCAGCTCTGGCCGTCCTCGCCAGCGCTACCAGGCGGAAATCCACGACCTGGAGAACCTGGGTGAGATGGGCAGCGGCACTTGCGGCCAGGTGTGGAAGATGCGCTTCAGGAAGACAGGCCATGTCATCGCCGTCAAGGTGAGCCCCGCCCCCGCCCCAGGTGGGCGCCCCGCCCTGAGCCCTGGCACTAACCTCCCCCGCTCCCCAACCCCTCCTGCAGCAAATGCGGCGCTCCGGGAACAAGGAGGAGAACAAGCGGATCCTCATGGACCTGGATGTGGTGCTCAAGAGTCACGACTGCCCCTACATCGTGCAGTGCTTCGGGACCTTCATCACCAACGTGAGTCCGCCCCTGTGGGGGCCTCTGGCACTCCCCCGCCTCCCTGCGGGCTCCCCAGGTGTCCTTCTTGTGGATCTCTGGGTGTCCCCCCCCCCCCGCCCCGGCGCCCGCATGGGGTGGGCGGGTGGGTGCGGCCACCCCCCAAGCCAGCCTGTGCCGCCCCCGCAGACGGATGTCTTCATCGCCATGGAGCTCATGGGCACGTGCGCGGAGAAGCTCAAGAAGCGGGTGCAGGGCCCTATTCCTGAGCGGATCCTGGGCAAGATGACAGTGGCGGTGAGCAGCCCAGCAGGGGTGCGGGCGGGTGGGCGGCCCCCAGGGGCGGGCCCCCATGCTCCCGTCACGGGTGCCCTTCGCTGTCCTCACCGCAGATCGTGAAGGCGCTGTACTACCTGAAGGAGAAGCACGGCGTGATCCACCGTGACGTCAAGCCCTCCAACATCCTGCTGGACGAGCGGGGCCAGATCAAGCTCTGTGACTTCGGCATCAGTGGCCGTCTGGTCGATTCCAAGGCCAAGACGCGCAGCGCCGGCTGTGCCGCCTACATGGCCGTGAGTGGGAGCTGCGCGGCGGGGGCGGGGGGGACGCCTGGCCCGGCCCTGGAGGAACATCCTTCCCTTCTCCCGCCGGCAGCCCGAGCGCATAGACCCCCCGGACCCCACCAAGCCAGACTACGACATCCGGGCCGACGTGTGGAGCCTGGGCATCTCCTTGGTGAGCCGCAGGGCGCCTGCTCGTGGGCCGGGCCAGCCTTCTCTGGGGTACAGATGCGGGTGGCGAGCGAGGGTGGGGGCCCGGCCTGGCCCTCCCAGCCGGCCTGTCTCTCCCCCAGGTGGAGCTGGCCACGGGACAGTTTCCTTACAAGAACTGCAAGACAGACTTCGAGGTCCTCACCAAAGTCCTGCAGGAAGAGCCCCCGCTCTTGCCCAGTCACATGGGTTTCTCAGGGGACTTTCAGTCCTTCGTCAAAGACTGGTGAGGGCCCCCCGTCCTGGTGCTGTGCCCTGGGAGGCAGGGCAGGGGCAGCCAGGGTGGCTTGGGGCTGGCGTGGAATGGAGGACCCTCCCCCAACAGGGGTGGGGGCTGCTGTGGGCGAGAAGCCGGCATTCAGGGCAGGGATGTGGGCAGGAGCTGGGACCCAAGGCCGAGTTGGCCCTGTGGTCGATCGGCAGGATGGCCCTTGGGCTTGGCCGCGGGAGGTTGTGAACAAGCAGGTGTGCCCCAGGGCCGAGGGATCCGTGCGTCCCGTGGCGCTGAGCAGAATGATGCCTGCGTGGTGTCCACATTTGGTCGTCGTGCGGGAGAGCCCCAGCTCCCCTCTCCCGTGGGCAGCGCACAACCCAGTTGGGGCGTCCATCGGAGGTGGGGTTCCCAAATGCAGGCCCTGGGTCCTCTGGCCTCTCTGCAGTCCGCACAGGGCTGTGAGCACTCAGCAGCCTTCCCTTCAGGCTCGAAGACCCCTGTTTGGGAGGGAGGACAGCTGGGTCCTCTTCCTAGGCTCTGATTCTGTGTCCTCCCTCTCCTGGTAGCCTTACTAAGGATCACAGGAAGAGACCAAAGTATAATAAGCTACTTGTGAGTATTTGGGACCCCTTCCCCCCCGCCCCCCAATTGGACGTCCAGGGGCCTGATCCTTGCGCAGGGCCTCCTTGCTGGTCCTAAGCCCCACCCCTCGGGCCCGCAGGAACACAGTTTCATCAAGCGCTACGAGATGCTGGAGGTAGACGTGGCATCCTGGTTCAAGGATGTCATGGCGAAGACGGAGTCGCCGAGGACTAGCGGAGTCCTGAGCCAGCACCACCTGCCCTTCTTCAGGTAGCCCCGTGCTGGCGGCCAGCCCCACCGGGGCCAGGGGCGTGGCCACAGGCCCCCTCTTCCCCGCCTGGTCCCCCAGCTGCCCGCCAGGGGAGACCTGGGATCTGGACGGCTGCTGAGGGCTGAGGACAGAAAGTAGGGGGCGCCGAGCCACCCCCGACTCCCTGCCCGCCATCCGTGGACAGATGGGCTCGCCAGGCCCCAGCCCTTCCCGTCCCGGGGTCAGCCGGCCATGCGCGTCCCCCTGACAGACACTGTGAACGGAAGACGGCAGGCCGCGAGCAGACTCGCTATTTATTCAGTCGTAACCTCTGGGCTGGGGCGGCCCCCAGGGCCCGGGAGAGAGCTGCCCGTCCCGCCCCTTCCCTTCCCCCTCACCAACCGCTGTGTGCTGTCCCCTCCGCCTCCCCTCTGCAAACATGCTCCCCATGTCCATCCCCTCTTTCTCATCCCCCGTCTACCTCTCTGGCCTTCCCCACCTCCCTCCCTGCCTCTGCCTCTCTCCTGGCCCAGATTGGGCTCTGCCACCCCCTGGGGTGGGGGTGGGGGACCCCTGGGTCCACGTGGGTCTCCAGCAACGGCGAGTCGATCGGCTGGTGTCCTCGCCCCAGGAAGGCAGGCTGGGCGTTAACGACTACAGCTGGACCTGGGCTGGTCTCTCTCTCTCTCTCTCTCTCTCTCTTTCTTTCTCTCTCTGTCTCTCTTTGATCTCAGGGGGTCCTTTTTGGAGTTTATTGTATTTTATTGTACTTGGTGGGTGTTTGGGGGGTGGGGGGGAGAGCTTGTTCTCACGGGGTTTGTCGGTACCTTCAGAAACTTACCAAAGTCATGTTTAGCTGCTTGCGGTCGAGCCCCCTGACGGCCTGTGGGCACGGGCGTCTGGGGTCAGGGGCCAAGCCCCGAAGGTGGGCTCTGGGGGTGCTCCTCCTCCCTCGGAGCCAGCCCTTGGGGCTGGTGACTGGCCACAGCTTGGGGGGGGTGAGTCGAGGACCTCAGGGGGCATGGAGGGAGCCCAAGGGGCCGTGGCCACACAGGGTGGCATTCAGGGAAGGCGGGCACAGGGCACGCTGAGGGCAGCGGATGCTGCCGTGGCAGGGAGGTGGTGGAGGGAGTCAGTGGCAGGAGCGGGGCCATGGGGCCCCAGGGAGGCAGGGATGGAGGGTGCAAGGGGTGGGCATGGGGGTTCGAGGACGTGCGACAGGATAGAGGTGGGGCTGGCTGAGGGCTGGGCGTGTGCAGGCAGGTGCGCCCCCGTAGTGCCCCTGAGCGCCCCTCGACTCCCCCAGATCTGGCCAGTTCCCGAGCCCCATGCAGCAGCCGGAAGGGAGGGGGTGTGTTTCCTTTTTGTTGGTGATGCATGCAAATCAAGTGGACAACACAACAAAACAAAACACAAAAAAACCCACAGAACCACAAAACCAACCAACACCAAAGGTGAGGAACTGGGCTGGATGTAGCTGAAGCGGTTTAGACCTGGGCGTCCCCAAACCCTCATCTGCCCCGTGGACTCCTGTTCCGCACTCACAAAATGCCGCATGTTTAAAAGTACTCGAGTTCTCTGCTCTTTGTCCCCCCCCCCCCCCCAGAGGGGACCGGCCACCTTCTCTCCCCCTTTTGTGAGGGGATGGAGGCAGGGTGGGGTCGCCGACAGGCCTGGTCCCCCACCCTCCCTCGCCTGGCCCAGCCAGGGGGAATTTGTGGGTAGCTGGAAGGTTCCATGGCTGGTCCCAGGGCCAGCACAGGCCCTAGGCTGGCCGCCTGGATTTAATTTTATTTAACTATTTTCTGTTTTGTGTGTCTGCCCGCCCCTGCCCCCCTTCAGTGTTAAGTGGGAGTTCTGGGGGAACCTCTTCCCCTCTGCCTCTTTCCTGGCTTCCCCTCCGTCACCGGTCACCAGCCGTCCCTCTTGACCAGGCAGAGGGTGGAGTGGGCGGGCAGGGGCCTGGGGTGGCCCACAATCCCTTCTCTGGTCGCCAGTATTCCTGTCCCTTTTTAAAATGAAATGCCCTCGTTTGTAAATCCTTAGACGCTTGAGAATAAAACCCCTCTTCTTCCATCGCGTCTGTGGTATGTCTTGAACTGGGCAGGACGGGGCGGGAAGAGGTGGGAAGGGGTCGTGAGCCCGACCTTGGGGGCTGGGGGAGCCATGCCATTCCTCCGGCAGATGAGGCCTCTGTGTGGAGGGGACACGAGCAGAGCCAGGGCCTGGCAGGGTGGTACTTGTACTGAGTTCCCCCAGACCTCCCCGCCCGCTACCACCCCAATGGCCGCAGGTTGGCCAGAGTGGAGCCCTTAATCCCTGGCAGGCCTTGGGCGCCCGTTCTGACGCGCACCCTTCAGTCCGCCGCCCCCGCTCCCTGCCTGCTGGGTGGCCGCTCAGCCAAGGACAGGGCTGCCTGCCCACCCGCTGGCGCCTCCACTGCAGGGGTGCAGCTGACTGCGGGTCCAGCATGCCGGGGGCTGCGCTCCTGCTGGCCCTGCTCCCGGGGGTCTTCACCTTGCCTGGCGGGCCACCGGGTATGTAGAGGCTGGGGATGCGGCCCATCACCCAACCATCCCTGTGCTGCCCTTCCAAACTCTGCCTGGGGGAGGGGGTGGGTGGTGGGTGGGGTCTGCCTCTGTGTCCCGTTTCCAGATGCTCCTGGACCCCCAAGGGAGAGGAGTGTGCACGTGCCTTTAGGAAACGTGGCGGGGGTCCTAAATGAGAACACTCGACAAGGAGCTGAGGGCGTGTGTGTGTGTGTGTGTGTGTGTGTGTGCGCGCGCGCGCGCGCGTGCCCACCCAGCTACGGCTGCCGTCGGTGAGGAACTTGGCCAAATGCAGAAGCCGGACACCCTCTGAGCTTCAGCTGTGCCGAAGGGCAAGGAGACGGCAACTTCCTTTCCCCTCTCCCCATGGTCACAGTACCCTTGGAAAAGAAGGGGTGGGGCCAGCACCCTCCCTGAAAGCTGTCCTGTACCCCGCAACTACCCCCAGCCCGGGATTCTCTGGCCCGCTGTGGGTGGAGAAATCGAGGTCTGGGCAGAGGCTCTCCTGTCCTTGCGCCCAGCCTCAGCTGCTGGGCTGTGGACGTCCGCTGGGTTTTCAGGGGACACAGCGACTCTGCCAGCAGTGAGCCGGGCACGGAGCCGAGCATGGGTACATCCCTCGCCGCAACAGCGCCCATTTTCCTAAGGAGGCGGCAGAGGCGGGGAGGTTGGGTCACTCGCCTGGAGGGGCTGGGCTGAGGGCCGGCGCGGCCCCGTTCCTCCGGGCTGCCCTCTCTCCCCGCCAGCGCCCCCATTCCCGGCGGCGCCCGGGCCCTGGCTGCGCCGCCCCCTTTTCAGCCTGGAGCTGTCCGACGCGGAGGACGCCTTCCCGCGCCGCGCGGGGCCGCTCGAGGTCCCCGCCGACAGCCGCGTCTTCGTGCAGGTGAGGACGCGGGGCGCGCCGGGGGGGGGGATGAGGGGGGACGCGGGTCGGGCCTGATGCGGGGCGGCAGCTGCTGACGGCGACCCCGCCCCCTAGGCGGCCCTGGCCCGTCCCTCTCCGCGCTGGGACCTGGTTCTGCACCGCTGCTCAGTGACGCCGTCCTCACGCCCGGCCCCGGGGCCCGCCCTGGCGCTGCTGCGCGGGGGCTGCCCCGCCGACTCCTCGGTCGCCTTCCCGCCACCGCCGCCGCGCCCGGGTGCTGCCCGTCCCGCGCGCTTCAGCTTCCGCCTGCGCCCGGTCTTCAACGCCTCGGTGCAGTTCCTGCACTGCCAGCTGAGTCGCTGCCGCCGCCTCCGGGGAGCCCACCGGACGCCTGCGCCTCTGACGCTGCCGCCGCCCTCGCTGGTGCGCGGGCACACGGCCGGGAATCTGGGCGCGTGGGCCATTTGGGGGCTGGGCACGGGCCCTCTGGCCTCTAAAGGAGGACCACCTTGGAGTCTGGGTACCTAGGGGGCCGACGCTATGGTCCCTGGGAGCTGGGGATAGTCACTGGGTCTCTCAGACGGGTGACTGGGCAGAAGGATCGAGAGGGGGAACCAGGGTTCCTCAGCGGACGGGAATGAGCACTGGGCTTGCTCGGGGCGGGGCTGTGTGGCTGGATGCAGAAGGTGGCCAAAGGGCCAAATTTCTGGTTATCTAATGTTCTCAGAGAATCGGGTCGTGTAACCTTGAGAGCTGGACACTTAGATCTCTTGGGAGCCCTGGGGACAGGCCCCTGAACCCTGGGGCCTGACACCCCCATCCCTTGCCTCCTGCTCCCCAGTGTCTGCCTCAGGACGAGGCGTGCGCGGGCGCCGGCAGCGGCGAGGGCCCGGGCGCCGACAGCCCCCACCTGCACACGCTGACGCAGCCCATCGTGGTCACGGTGCCGCGGCCACCCCCCAGTGAGCGCGCAGTTCTCCTCCGCAGGGGTCCCTGGGGCCGGGGGAGGGGAGTGGGAAGGGCATCTGGGGCCCAAGCCCCGTCTCCGTGTTGCTATTTCTTACAGGGCCGTTCAAGGGCGTCCCCGGCCGAGCCGTGCGCCCCGAGCCGCCTGCGCCAGCCCCGGTGGCCCTGGAGCCCGCGCCGGTGGTGGCGCTGGTGTTGGCGGCCTTCGTGCTGGGCGCCGCGCTGGCTGCTGGGCTCGGCCTCGTCTGTGCGCGTTCAGGTAGCAAACTCCGCCGGGGTCCGCAGCCTATTCCCGGGAGTCCGACCCGGGGGCGCCGCGACACAGCAGGTGGGGCTGGACCATTCCCAGACCCGCCTCCGCTAAGCCCGCAGCAGCCCCCAGGGGGCGCTCTTGCCCCGAGCCAATGAGCGGCACCCCCGGCCGCTCTGGAGCCTGCCTCTCCTTCCCAGCGCCCCCAGCCCCCGGCGCCGCCCCGAGAGACTCGCCCAGAGGCCCCCAGCCCAGGAGGCCCCAGTGAGGTAGGAACATTTGGGGGGGGGGTTGTAACGTGGGGCCAGCTGGAAGAGAGAGGTGATGATAATGACTCTTCACAGGCTTTCCCTTGTGCCGGGGAGTGTGCTGAAGGCTTCACGCCTATGAATTAATCCTCGTAACAACTTCCAGGCAGATACTATTATAAGCCCCATATTAGAAACGAGAAACATGGGCCACTCTCTGAAGTCATTTGTCGAAGGTCAAAAAATTTGGTGGCGCTGATTCAAACTCGGGCCCTGGGTCACCCACTGCCAACTTCGGGCTCTGTGTCACAAAAGGGGTCCTCAAACGTCGGACAGACACTAAGCTGGGAGAGTTCGCGACTCAGACCTAACACTCACCCTCACTCCCGCACACAGATTGATGGAGGAGGCCAATGATCAGCTGGGAAGGGGGTGTCCTCTCCTTCGCGCAGCGGGGGTAGCCCCTCCCCAGGGCTGGGGCGCCCCCAGCAAGGTCCTGAGACACCAGCCACGCCTCGAGCCAGGCCCGCCAGGACTGGACCGGCCGAGGTCGACCTCGGACCTGATGGGACCAGTCTCAGCGTCCTGCACCTCCGGCCCCCGACCCGCTCCTCCGCACACCCTCCCACCTGGGCCCCAAATAAACGTCTGGTCTGACCTGTTGAGTTTTGAAGTCTGCGTCGTCGTGCGCTTGGCGCCGGTGTAGGGGGCAGGAAGCAGAGGCCTCGGACCAGGATTTAGGGGGTTCCGGACCGGAAGAAGTCCAGACTGGAGGGCTTGGGGGCCGGGCTGATACACCCATATATACGTGTGCAGATGAGGGCCAGGGGACATCCAAGGAGTTTTGTCCTAAACAAAAAGGCACACCCAACCCCACCTGCTTACGTTTTAAGTAAGCTCCGCCTCCTTCCTCAATCCCTGCACCGGCCCACCGGCCGCCAGCGATCTTCCCAAAGCCGGGCCTTTTCCGCTCTCCACCCCCGCCACCTGGACCCTGCTCTCGCCAAGGCCTCCACCTCTGCTCCAGGCTCCTACTGGCCTCGTCTAGAGCTTTTTTTTTTTTTTTAATGTTTATTTATTTTGAGAGCGACAGAGCATGAGCGGGGGAGGGGCAGAGAAGGGGTTCAGAATCCTAAGCAGGCTCAGAGCCCAATGCGAGGCTTTAACTCACTAACGGGGAGATCGTGACCTGGGCCGAAATCTGACCGCTTAGCCGGCTGAGCCACGCAGGCGCCCCTCCTCTCCGCCTGGTCTAGAGCTTTTTTTTTTTTTTTTTAATTTATTTATTTCTAGGAGAGAGAGAGAAAGCGTGAGCAGGGGAGGGTCAGAGAGAGAGGGAGACACAGACTCCGAATCAGGCTCCAGGCTCTGAGCTGGCAGTCAGCACAGAGCCCAACGCGGGGCTCGAACCCACGAACCGCGAGATCATGACCTAAGCGAAAGTCGGACGCTTAACCGACTAAGCCACCCAGGCGCCCCATGGTCTAGAGCTCTTAAATAAACGTCTCCTGTCCCAGTTCTTCCCTTCCCTTGAGCAGGACTACCTCATTTTACAAATGAGTAAACTGAGGCGAGACTCGGCCAAATCACTTGCTCTAGGTCAGGACCCCACAGCCCAGGATCTTGGCTACGACTGGACAGCTGCCTTCCAGCCAGGGTCCACTCCTTTTGGAGAAACAAAGCGCACAGGAGCGTCACAGGAATGGAGGGAAGGGCACGAGATCTACGGTCTCGGCTCCAGTTCTCGAATGAGATAAAATGCAGGCGGGGAGGGGTGTGTGTGTCTCATTCGTCCCCGCCTCGGTTCTCAGGCCAGTCTCTCCATCCTTTTGGCCGCAAACGCGGAGCCACGCCCCCATCTGTTTTCGCCTCCGCGCCGCACTTTTTGATCCCAGCGGCCCCCGTAACCCCGCCTACCAGGGAAACGTGCCCGGAGCGCCGACTCCGCCCCCGCCGGCATGAAGCCTCCACAGCGGCGGCGAGCGGCCCCGGCGCGCTATCTGGGTGAGGCGACCGGCCCTGCGGCCTGGAGCGCTCGCGAGAAGCGGCAGCTGCTACGACTGCTGCAGGCGCGGCAGGGCCAGCCGGAGCCGGACGCCGCTGAGCTGGCTCGAGAGCTGCCGGGCCGCAGCGAGGCCGAGGTGAGGGGTCCTGGCAAGGACGCGGGGCTGGAGGCGGGATTAGGATGTGGGCGGAGCATCCTTGCGGTCGAAGGGCGTGGCGTGGGCGGGACGCGCGCGATGCTGGGGGCGGGGTGAACATGGGAGCAAGGCTGGGGGCGGGGCGTATGTGAGGATGAGGGGCGGGGCAAGGTGGAGGCTGAGAGTGGGAGAGGCTGAGAAGTCGGACTCTATAAGGCGGAGTGGAGGCCAGGAACTGGGCGGAAAGGGCATCGGGGCCTGGCGGGAGTGAGGCAGAAGTGAGAGGAAACGAGGCCGAATGGGTGAAGCGGGGAGGTGAATGGGGTAGTACTTAGCAGGGGGTGGGCCCTGGCTGCGGGGAGGAACCCGAACTGACCTGGGCCTTACCTCTTACTGAGTGGCTGGTCGCATCTGGGGCCTCGTCCCCGTGCAGAGTCACTGAGATCCTTAACACCTAGCGGTAGGCTAGAGAGCGGTGCCGGTCCTGGAGCAGGCGGTCGGCTGTGGCTTCTCTCCCCAGCCCCAGGCGTATAGAAAGCCCATTTGGCCTGCTCTCTTCCCCAGATCCGGGACTTCCTGCGGCAGCTCAAGGGCCGCGTGGCCCGGGAGGCCATTCAGAGGGTGCATCCAGGTGGCCCGCAGGGTCCAAGACGTCGGGAAACACAGACCCCGGCCCCCATCGAGGTGAGGCAGGACAACGTGCCCCCCCACGGCTGGCCCCTGGGACGTGGTGTGGGTGTTGCGGGGGGTGGGGGTGGAGGGTGATAACCTGGTCAGGGATCCCCGGGAGGGGCAGGGCTTGGGGACCCCTGAGGGTTGATCCCTAGGCCCACCGTGTACTTTACGGCCTCCCCATCCAGGTATGGATGGATCTGGCCGAGAAGCTAACAGGCCCGCTGGAGGAAGCCCTGACTGTGGCCTTCTCACAGGTAGGATGGGGTGTACATGTACATGTCTAAATAAGGGGGGCTGGGGTCCTGGAACCTTCCCCTTTCCAGCTTTGTGACCCCAGCCAGTCACGGAACACGCTGAGCCCCAGCGACCCGGCTTCTGAGGCTTCACCTGAATGTGACGCCTAACAGAGGACGGTGAGCAGGTGGAAGTGGAGGGCTCAGCCTTGTGCAGGGTAGGGGGGTGGCTGATGGGAGGACTGTGCCTTCCCCTCCCTCATGTCTCTTCCCGCCAGGTGCTCACCATCGCAGCCACAGAGCCCACCAGCCTCCTGCACTCCAAGCCCCCCAAACCTACACAGGCGCGTGAGAGGCAACTGCTGCTCAGCGCCCCTGGAGGGCGGGAGGACTCAAGCCCTGAGACCCCTGGCTCCGACCCCAAAACGAATGGTCCCGCCCCTGAGGCCTCTGGTCCCGCCCCTGAGACAAATGACCCCGCCCCCGAGGCGCCTTGCGAATCCCTGGCCGACCCATCGGCTGAAGGAGACTTCTCCGTGGACTTTGAGAAGATCTACAAATATCTGTCCTCCATCTCTCGCAGTTGCCAGGGCCCCGAACTTTCTGCAGCCGGTGAGGATAATGGGCAGGGGCTGAGCGGGCGGGAGTCCCAGGTAGCAAGCCCCGCCCTCCCCTCACCCTTCTCCTCTCCATCCGTTACCAGAGGCAGCCGTGGTCCTTGACCTGCTGCTGGCACTTCCGGAGGAGCTGACCAGCCTCCCCTGCGCCGCCCTGATGAAACATCTGTCGAATACGTACGCGCGCCTGACGGCCCCCCAGCTGGACCCCGCTGCTGAGGGCCTGGGACCCGGGGCTGAGAATGGTGGGACGAGCCCCAGGGGGCAGGGGGAGGCCAGCCAGGCCATGCCCCGGGGCCCTGACAATGCTGCGCCCAGTGAACCAAGGTCTGCTTGGCAAGCAGCTGGGGTCTGCCCCCTGAACCCGTTCCTGGTGCCCCTGGAATTTCTGGGCCAGGCAGCCACCCCTGCAAGGTGAAGGGACACCAACCAGAGCAGGCAGAGGACACACCGGACGTCTGTGAGCCCCTGGCCCTCAGTCCTGCCTGGGCTGGCACTGGGTTGTCATCAGTCGTGGCAGAAGGTACTGGACACCGTGGGCGTTCTAGGGTAGCTATTAGGCCGGCTGATCCGGCGGGGCTGTCCGCAACAAGCGCAGCTGGACAGGCGTTTGGCCATGGAACTGAGGTGGCTCTGGCCAGGCAGGCTTGGCTAAAGCCAGTGTCAAATCCAGCCCCCCTCCCCCAGCTCCTGTCTCTTCCTACATGCTGTATGCTGTGTCCTGTACCTGTGAGTAAAGTTCTTGTCAATCTGCCTTCTCCCTTTTTCTGTGCATTAAAGATGGGGGTGGAGGCCCCAAGTGCCAGAAGGAGAAGCCAGAGGTAGGAGCGCCAGAGCTGGGTCCCAGGCACCCAGTCGGGGGCATGCAGGGAGGAAGGCCAGTCCTCACTAAAGGCTGCCGCGACCAGGTCCGGTTCGGTGCCACCTGGAGTGACCTTGGGCTGGCCGTGAGTGGGACCTTTGGGGACCGTGTAGAGGACAGAGGCCTGATCCTGACAGGTGTGAGTGAAAGGTTTTCAGAGCAGGAGACCTCACATCACACAGATGAAGGGGAGAAGCCAGCAGAGTAGGCAGGTGGGAGGAGCCAGGCCCCAGGTAGGGGCCAAGGGGTAGGAGTGGGCAGGGGCCTCCTGTGGCGGGAGGTGGGAGGGAGGAGAGTCCCTGAGGTGGCCTTAGGGAAGCAAGGAGCGGGGAGGGGGGGAGCTGGAGGGGCCTTAGGAGCAGGGAGGGAGGAGCTGAGCTGGGTAGAGGCAGGGCCCTGGCCGCTGGGTCTCCCAGCAAGGGGTCCCCCTTCATCCGCCTGCCTGGGGGTGTAGATTCGGGACGGGTTGGGGAGAGTGTGGCAGGGGAACTGAGCATCCTCCCACAGCACTGCCCCCCCCCCCCCAGCCTAACTAGTCCTGTGGGAGCTGGTAAATTCTGTTCGCAGAGCCCGTGCATTCACACAGCCTTCCTTTTATAGAAGCGCCCGCTGCTCCCCACACACATTGCACACGGCTCCCCCGGGGCACAAACACGGCTCCCAGGCGGGTGGAGCAGAGCCGGCCCACTCCCTGCCTCCAGCACCACAGTTCCCAGAGTGCACGTGTGCCGGTGGCCAGCGGGGACCAGGCTCTCAGGGACTTTGCGGTTGCAGGTGTGGTCGCTGCCACCTCCAGCTCCCTCCCCCGGCTAAGCCCCCATTTATTCCGCAGCCCCTAGTTGCCTCAAGTCAAGGGAAAGAAGGGAGGTGGGTCTTGGCTATGCATGGAGCTGGCGGCACCCAGCTTGTACCTTGGTCACCCCCAGAATGTGGTCTGGCTGTCTTGGCAGCACGGGGCAGCTATTAAGAGCGGGTGGAAGTTAGACCTGGGTTCAAATTCCAGCCACTTAATACAGACTAGTCACTCGGGCTGCCTGGACCTTCATCCCCTTGCCTGTAGAACAGGGATGCTAACAGGCCTCACTCTGGGTCCCCAAGAAGGAACAGGTCATGCGTAGGGCACGTCAACTCACACGCTGCGTGGCATGTAGTAAGCGCTCATTAATAGCTTTTATTTTCACCAATGGCTCAGGAGCTGGGAGGAGGGAGAAGGCATGGGGAAGGCCGAGGTGGGGGATGGGAGGAGGGGGCGGGGGAAGTGGCAGGAGCGCCAATGCGAGGCATAGGTGGTGACTGAGGGGGGGCGCTGACCCGTCCTGGGGCCTGGGCTGGAGCTGGAGAGAACCTGCCCGCACTCTGCTCCCACCGAAGGCGCCGCGCATCCTGGACACCACAGCCGTGGTTGCTCTCCAGTCTCCTCCCGGGCAGGCCGCGCAGGGCACACTTGTATGCAGTGTCCACCCCGTGGGCCCAGGAGAGCCCGTCCCGCAGGAGCAGCTCAACACTTACGGAGGGTGGGGGTCGGGTCGGGGTTGGGGGAGTGAGGACGGCCAGACCACGGGGGAGGGAGGGAGGACACGGGGGTCCCCCGCATCAGGGAATGGACACGACACTCATGCTCTGCGGCAGGACTATAGCGGAGCCACCAATACGCCTAGGGGTGGGGGAGGGGTCCTCTTCCCAGTCGCGGGGAGCCAGTCGGGGACCAGCCGGGCCGGTGAGGCAGGGAGCCAGGGCGGGGTGGGATAAAGGCACGAAGTGGGGCTCCGGCCAGGCCGGCAGGAAAGATGGGAGGGGTCTGAGGGGGAGGAGCCGGACTTCTAACGCCCTCCCCGCCTTGGGCTAGGATCTGGGGTGGGATCCTGAGCGCCATCCCGGTCAGGCGGCGCCCGCGTCGGGTCGGCCCTCGGAGAGAAGCCCCGCTCCACTCAGACCAGCGCGTAGTCGAACTGTCCGCGCTCGAGCGCCTCCTTGTGGTCGGTCCAGGACGAGGCGGGCATGCGGCTGTAGGGGTCGAGCAGGATGCGCACGCAGCGCACCATCAGCAGCACCAGCACCACGAGCAGGCAGAGTACGAAGGCGAACACCGTGCGCTGCTCCGCGTCCAGGCCCGCGCCCACCGGGGGCCCCGTCGACGGCGGCAGCGGCTCGGGGGACAGAGTCCACGTCGCGCTCATGGCTCACATCGCCGCGCGCCCTGCCGGAGGAGGGGCCCGCCCGGGGCGCAGGGATGAGGCTGCGCCTTCCCGCCCCTGCGCCGCCCCCTCCTGCCTCCGCCCCCTGACCTTGCCGGGATCCAGCCCCCGCCCGGGCCTCCGTCCCCCGGCTACGCCCAAGCCCGGGCCTCGGGCACGCCGCCGCAGGCACTCGGGGACCCAACTCCGGTCGTGCGCGCAGGTGGGGGTGCTGAGAGTGGGGAGAGGGAGCCCGGGCCCGGCCAGCCCGCGTACAACAGGTGCGAACGCACGGCCCGGGCGGCGCGGCGAAACCCTGTCCCCCGCCCGGCTCCCTTTGTTCCCGGCGTCCCGGCGACCCCTCCCCCACCGCCCCCGCCCCGCCGCGCCCCTCACCCTGGCCTGGACCGGGACGGCAGCCGAGCGTCCGGCGGCTGCGCTCTCTTCCGGGACCCGCGCCGGCTCCGCTCTCGGTCTCTCTCCCGCGGCGACGGCGGCGGCGGCCCCAGCTCAGCCCACCCCACCCGCCCCTGGAGCGCCAGAGACCGAGGCAGGCGAGCCGCGCGCTAGCCGGGCCGCCGCGGCCGTTCCCATGGCGACGGGGGGCGGGGCCGCCGCGGGGGGCGGAGGCTGCGCAGGGAGCGGCGCACGGGCTCGCGACCCCGCCCCGGCCTCCGGGAGAACAGCGCTCCCGCCCGCAGGCGCCTGGGAGACCCTGGTCGCGGGGGAGCCTGAGCACCCAGGACCTCGCCCACCCCACCCCGACGAGAACCCCAGGCGGCCCCAGGCCGACTTCGGCACCTATGTGACAGACCCCTCAATCAGACGTCCTGCTGGGGGGATCCCAATGCCGCAGCCCCCCCGAATCATATAGGCACTCAAGCTCCTCCAGCCCCAGGGACCCCAACCCTCCGAGATCCCAGCCAGGCCTCAGAAAAGCTCCCCAGCTCTTGCGGAGAGGACCCCCTCCCCAGGGGGGCAAGGTCCTGACCAGGCAAGTCTAGGGCTGCAGTTCCTTCGGCGACCTTGACCACCTCCTGTGCCCACCTGGCCAGCTCCCACAACCTATCCTCGGTCCTAGCTGTCTCCCACCCCAGTGACAAACACCTCGGACCACCCAAGTTGCTCTCCTGCACTTTGGCGTTTTATTATTTTCAAACCTCAGGCATATACACAGGATAATAAGGGCGCTGTTCAAATAAAAAATGGAGCCAAAATGGCCTGGCTGGAGCGGCCTGTAGGCTACTCTGAGCGGCAGGGACCTGCTGTCCTGCCCCCTGGAGCCCCTGGGCCAGGGGGCCTCTTGGCACCATGTGGCCTGTGCACCGCGCTGACCCCGCCCAGCACCCCCCCCCCCCAGGGGGACAGGGGCAGTGCCGGGGGCCCCCCCTTCCCCATCCAGCTGGTTTTGTAGCCACCCTGGGAGACCGGATAGTCCTGGCTTCCCCAGAGGCGCTGCGACAGGCGGACACCAGCCCTCTGTGTGACCACCGCGTGCTGATCCAGCCCAGAAGCCTCTGCTCGTGGCCACCACGCTCAGAGGACCTGCTCCGTGCTAGACGCCGAGATGTCCAGGAGCCGCCAGGCCGCGTAGGGGTTGAGCTCGTCCTGGTCTCGACAGAGCGCCCACACGTACAGCATGCGCAGCACCTTGTCCTGCGGAGGCGGGGAGGGTGAGGCGCGCGGGGGACTGTGGGAGGGGCAGGCGGAACACAGGGGATGCCGGGAGGGACCGAGGAGCCGGGCTGGCGCGTCAGCCGGGGTCTGGGGTCCAGAGGCGACAATGAGGCCTTCACACAGAGTCAGTCACCCCCAGACTTGTCAGGACGCGGCCCGCTGTTCCCGCACAGTCACACCACCTCCCGACTGTCAGTGCGAGGTGGCTGGAGGCTGCCACCAGGCGGCCTTGCACCAGCCACCCTCCCTCACTCACCGGGTCGCCCTCCACCACCTCGCCTTTGGGGTTCTTGATCACCATCACCAGCTGGGCCTGGAAGGTGATGATCAGCACAGGCCCCTGCTCCATCATCTTGCCCATGGCCAACTGCAGGGGGAGCAGACAGGGCGGGTGGGCTTCAGAGAGCGGCCTCGCCCCTTCCCCGATGCTCGCCTATGGCTGGTGGGAAGGCCCCACTTCCCAGGAGGCGGCCCCAGCCCCAGAAGAACCCCTTGGAGCTGCCCGTCCCCGGGTGGGGGTTATCCACGGGACCCTTCCCAACATGAGCCAGAGTCTGAACTCCTAAGAATCCAGGCAGCCTCCCCAGACGCCAGTGGCTCCTTGTTACCCAGGCCGGGGCTGGGTGGGCGTGCAAGGCCTCACAGAGGGACCACTCCTGCACATGGCAGGGGTAGCAGAAACAGAGGCTGGCATGCCTTCAGCTCTGCGCCCCCGCCACCCAAGAGACACTCACGTCGATGTTGTCGATGTCCAGGATGCGGGAGTGGAACTGCAGGCCCAGTGCCTTGGCCTGCTGGATCGGGTGGGCCAGCTGGCTGTAGGTCTGCGGAGGGAAGCCAGACACACCCCTGCAGCCGGGCCCGCACGCGTGCAAGCCCCACCAAGGTGCCGTGCTGCACCCGCTGGCGAGCCCAGGCGCCGTGAGCGCCATCCTGGGAATCCGTCCCGGCGGACAGGCTCACCGCCCTATTCCGGGCTTTCTGCGCCTGCACCTTCCAGAAACGGCCGCTGGTGCCTGCGAGTGCTCTGCCAGGAGTGGCAGATGCCAGGAGCGCAGGTCCAAGCGGGGAGGCCAGTGCCGCCCATTTGCTGGCCCGAATCATACCCCCTTGTTAGAAAGATAGCGCTGCATCGAGACTCCCAAATGGAATTGGTACTAATCAGTAAAGTAGGTAATTTTCCTGCAACAGGATCTGAGACCCATGCCTGGAGGGAAGTTGAGGCCTCGCTGCCTGATCTTGGACTTCCCATTTTACCGCACTATGAATCTTGGCCTGGAATCAAACGCGTTTTCTAGGATTTGCCCTAACCCGCAGCTGATCTGAAATGAGCTCCCTCGGTCAGTCTCCTCCTCACTGACCAGCCCCGATGGGAAGCTACTGGCCACAGGCAGCCCGTTCTTCCCATGGGATGGCAACACCCCGATGGCACCTCCAGCCCCACTGGGCCTGCTCCCAAGGCCCAGGACACGCGTGCCACCTTGCACCTTTTTGCTGGAGGCTTCTCTGGACTCAGCAGCTATGCTGGAAGCCATTCCAATTAACACTTTTTATAGAAGTAACTGATCCACCAAGAAAAAAAATGGTGCCAATCCTATTTCCTGTGTGGTTCTTAAAAATGGCATTTAAGAAACACTTCTGGGGGTGCCTGGGTGGCTCAGACGGTTGAGCAGCCAACTTCAGCTCAGGTCATGATCTCACAGGTCATGGGTTCAAGTCCTGAGTCGGGCTCTGTGCTGACAGCTCAGACCCTGGAGCCTGTTTCAGATTCTGTATCTCCCTCTCTTTCTGCCCCTCCTCTGCTCTCACTCTGTCCCTCAAAGATAAACAAACACTTAAATAAACACACACACACACACACACTCCTGGCAGCACCTGCATTTCAGGTGCATTTCCAGGGACCCCAGCAGCTCTCTGGCAAAGATAATCATCCACAGCCTAATGATCCCAAAGCATTAAAAAAAAGAAGAAGAAAAAACCACCACCACACACTCCTAAATGCCTGCTGGATTAGTCACCGCGCAGGGGAGTATTAAAAAAAAAAAAATCTGACATCTTCTCCTCTGCTTTCTCCAAGTTGTTTGTGAGCTGGAAGCAGAATAGATCAGCCAAAAAAGGCTCTGGATTGCTCAATACACATTCGCTAGAAAAAACCCCATGAAGACACAGGTCAGGGAGCGAGCAGGGTGAGTCGAGGTGGCCAACAGGCGGCTGCCAGGGCCAGGCGGACAGGGTGTGCTCCCAGGGACGGCTGACCTGGGTCCGCGGCCTGGCGCCGTGGGGCCCGGGGACCATGAGCACCGACTCTGGGGAGCCGCCGGCCTCATCAGGACACACGGCTCCTCCCCATGCGGGAAATCTTATCACTGACTGTTTTGATCTATGTTTCGGGAACTCAAAGTGAGAACAGCTATAATGAGTCCAGCCAGCGTTCCGTGCGTTCTGGAGCGCTGCTGCGTCTGTGCTCGCACAGTACCCTCGTGATGCCTATGACATGGCCCAGGGACGAGAGGGGGCGCGTGCCCTCGGGCTGCTTGCCAGCCAGCACCCACCGCCACCATGTGAGACCCCTGCGCGCTGAGGGAAGGTCACAGCCCCCGCCTCCCCCCCAGCTATTCGTGGCCCCTTTCTGCCCAGCCCTGGACCCTCGGGTCCCCCCACAAGCAGGACACCGGACCCTGTCACCCCTTCCCGGCTCTGCCCAAACAGACTTCCCGACCAATTGTTCTTAGACCTAAATAGAAAAAGTAAAAAGAAACAAAGAAGTACTCACAGCTTCATAACACCAATCTTTGAGAATCTCAAGCTCTCCAGAAATCATGGCCTAAAAGGGAAAAACAAACAAAAATAAGCTCGAGACTAAGAGGAGGCTGTCTAGGCGGAGGTCCTGCCCTATAGGCTCCGGCTGGGAAGCAGGGGGCCTCGGATCGGGCAGCAGCAACAGATGCCCCTCCCCAGGTCCTGGGGACCAAGAGCCTGCGTGTGTGACCCCCGGCAGCCCAGGGTGGCCTCAAGGGCCCCGTGTGCGGTGGTGTGGAAGGCGGCGGTGTGCCGGGCTCGGCCAGGCTGGGAAGCTGAGCCAGGGAGGTGGGAGCCGCATTCCAGCTCCATTAGTGCTGGGGGTGTCAGGACAGAGGCAGAGGAGGGGTCCCGGGGCGGCCCCCTAAGGTGCCAGAGGGGTTGCCTCTGCAGGAACTTGGAGGCGGGGTTGACCTACCGAAGGCGAGGGAGGAGCCCAGGGCCAGAGAGAAGACAACTAGGGGCAGGCTGGGGGCTGTGACGTCCTCACTTGCCTGCTGGGGCTGCTACTTTAAGGGAGCGCCCCCTCTCTCCCTCCTGCTGGCCCTGCCCACAGTGGTGTAGGGGGTGGGAAATTAGGAGGGGACCACAGGAAGGCCCGTGGGATGGAGGAGGCGGGGGGGGGGGGGGGGGGGGGGGGGGGGGGGGGGGGGTGTGTGTGACAGGAATCTGGCCGGGGGGGGCGGGGACAGGAATCCACCGGGGCGGGGAGGGGGGGGGTGGGGCCTTTCTGTGATCTCATCAGGCCCTTCCAAAGGCCTGGCAGACACCCAGGTTCAGGCCGCGTCCCTGGGGCTAGAGGAGCAGACACGGCTGGGTGGAGACAGTCAACTGTGGGCAGGGGCCCTGTGCAGTGCGGGGTGTGGCGGGGCCTCGAGCAAGCCACCCCCTCCTCGGTCATGAACCAAGAGGGGCCAAAAGGTGGGATTCGGGATTCCGCCAGGGAGGGGACCCGGCCCCTGGGAGGAGGAGCTGCAGCCCCAGCAGCCGCTCACTGGAGGCTCCGGGCACCTGCTTCACGAGGTCACGAGGGGAACCAGACAGGAGGCTCCAGGCTGGGTGTCAGGAA